TAATAATAATAATAATAATAATAATAATAATAAAAGGAGCGACTAACCAAGGAGAGAAAATCGAAAATGGCACGGAAATCAGACAGAGGGCTATACCAGGATGGATCAAGGTATACACTACGAAGAGAGAGAGAGAGAGAGAGGAAGGGAGAGGAATCAACGGAGCGAAGCGCCGCGCCGCGCTGCGTGACGGCCGCGGGGGATCCCCGCCCGAGGAGCACGTGTTTAAATTACAGCCCGATCCCATCTCCCTCCCCGCGCAGCCCGAATGGCGCACGCGCGCTCCTCGCGGACCTACCAGGCACCTCCATGTACTTTTGTCTACGGCGGTGCGCCAACAGTTGAAATCGCGCTCATATACCGAGTTTCACAACGAAACAACTGTGTTTTTTTATTGATTCGTCTTGAAACATTTTTAGTTATGATAAGAGAAAATTAATAGAATTTTAAACGAAATTCCAAAAATTAATTAAAATTATTAACTCTTAAAAGTTTTGCAATGTTTTATACGAACTATTTTGAAGAGAACTAAAAACACTGGCTGAATTTGACAAAAACACTGACCTGACTTGAAATTAACACAAACAGTGTTGAACTATACATCTGGCATGCACCAATCAGAACAGTGTATTCCAAAAATCATCGCCTTTTTCTGACCCCTTCCTCTCTGCTTACCAATCACAAGGTGCAATACAACAATCACAGGTGCGCTGACATGTGCACTTGGAGCGATTCTCTGATAATATTTAATACTTCACGAAAATTGTTTATAACAATTAATTTTCATAGGTAGTAATCTTATGAAAGGAGGTACTGAGCGTAGTCAGTTTGTTTGACCACTTGAGGCGCAGAGAGTGACATTGTTTCCACCGACTTCAGTAATTGAGGGTTCAATTCTCATACTGCGTAGTGTTGTGTGCCTCCTACTACAAAGCTGCTAACCGAACGAGATACACCAGCAGTACTCAATAAGAACTCTGCAGAGGTGGAACCAGAAAGTATTTAGAAGGAAGAGCAATTTCAATTCGTACCTCCATAAATATTTTTGAAATACATGTTTCAATTGTTATCTGCGCCTATGCTCTTGTCGAATTTTTTTGCAAGTTAGAAAAAGGTCTTTCTCTTGTAAATGTTCACAAGGGAAAAATCTTCATTATCTTAATGTATAAAAAATATTATGTAATTCAAATAAAAATATTTTGTTAAATTTCAGTCTACAAAGGTTTTGTTCGGTGGATCTATGGAGTATAAAGAAAAATATAACGAAGTCGACGAAAGGTGGCAAAAAACTCCCTACCAAATAGCATGATATATTCCTCCGCATTACTGATATATCATGTGAACTACCACAACTGAAATTTTCTTCAGTTACACGAGGAACATATTCCCCTAAAATATTATTTTTTCTGGGATACATCACATTTGTTAAAACCAGCCTCTTCATGAAATCTGGCAACAGCCCCCCACTTTTCAGAGAGATTTTACTTCTATTTCACGACCAGCTGTAGACGATATGAGATATTTTAATTGAGCTGTCCGGTGAAACCTGGAGCTTAATTAAAAAGACATCAGAATCTTTCCTTTTACTTTTTAATATTTTTTAATACGCTTCTGTTGAGAGCAAAAAATGTTCTGAAATGTTAACATCGAGTTCTTCTTAGTGAAATGTTTTGGTATTTTAATTTTATACTTGTTCGTAAGTGGATTGTTGAGGCGTGTTCTGATGTCTGAAGTTCAGGAATGGATATAAAAAAATCGTGACACGAAAATACTTCTTTATATTCAATCGTCTTTCACTAAATACAGTTCCTCGCTGTCAGGCCTGTCCTAAAGCAAATGGTAGATTACTTATGCATATTTCTCGAGTCTTCTTTTTCTGCATGTCTTCATATCATTCCCTTATGCAATTTGCATTATATTTTCTATGAGTTTAATGTAATTAAAAAAGTTTTGGTAAAATTAAGAAACTTATTGGAAAATGCTAATTGATAAGAAAATAAACATATTGTAGTCCACAATATTTAAAATTAAACTTACGACAAATATATTTTTTATCATTAGGCAATAAAACTACAGGTGAGAGATATGAGAGTTTAATATGAATACCATCTAGCATTATTTACATAATACAACGCTATGCTCAAGACATTTCACACATCAAAGTGCGTTTTCAGTATTAACATCTGTTTTAGTCTGATATGTATTTAACTTTATGATAAAAACATATGTTTTTCTTCACGTTTGCCTCAGTATTAGTATTTGTTTGCTCTGTTAACACTAAGGAATGCAAGTAGTGGAATGAAAATAAACAAAATATTCGTTTTTCTGCATTCAGGAATTTTTTTACGGCAGAACACTGCAACCTGTGCGGATTACTTTCATAGTTTTATAAAATTGTAAGTCAAAAATATTAGCTAATTATCATCCTTTATATCCTCTTTAGCAATCACGAGAATTTGGTGACAAAAATATCTGCTGTACCGCAAAACTAGAGTAAAGTGTATCCGCCGTACTTCACTGATCATTGCATTTGCTTTCACCTCTCCTGAGCAGCTGGGAAGAGCCTTCCATATCCATTCCCGGCCGCCTACCCCCTCCCCCCCTCACGCCTCTCCAGGCCACCTGAAAGTTCCGGGCCGACTTAGAAGCCACGTGGTCTACTTCTTGCGTCCACTCGCGGCCTCCTGGAGGTGCACGAGGGAAGGGGCGTGCCCCAGGGGCCGTTTTTCTGGCAGTGGTTTACTAACTTCCCGCCGCCAGGGGAAGCAGTGAGTTGATACATTAATTAAGCCTGGCCGCCCCGCCCGCCCCACCACGCCATTGTTTATGGGTATCTGGCTTGGCGGTGTAACCTGTTCCTGTTCCTTCCAGCGCAGCGCCTGCAGCGCGGGCGGGAACAATGCTGCGCGGCGGGGTGTGTGCCTCTGAGTGCCCAGAGAATACGCTTTGTTGGGCCCAGTGGGCGATTTTTTGACACGTGCTGAAACAGTTGGGCATCGCCCAAGACCGCATCGCTCAGCGAAGTGTATTATTTTGCTGGCCGGATGAGCCGCGTATCAGCTGTTAAGTGTGAATTCAATGCGCTAAGGGAAGAGGTTAGGCATTTTCACGAGTGATTTACATTGTTCCGATATAGTCACTGAAACTAATATTGTAAATACTGGCTCAAATCGTGTCGAAAGGCAGGAGGGAACAAAGCATGTGCACTTGTGAATTACTTTATCAAACATATGTAATCAAACGCACTAACAGATTTCCAATAAGAAAGGGTTATTTAATTGCAGCACGCTTTTCATTATGCATGCAATAGATCAATTTTCAATTTTGATTTATTTAGTACGATTTATTTCCGTAAAAAAATATTAAAAGCTAGATATGAGATACGGGGAGAAAGTATTATCAGCGTACATTTTCTTGGGCTTCAAAATCCCTACCTTACCGGTTTATTAAACATATTTTTTCCTCGGATTTTAAAAACAACTATATAGTGGACGGACAAAGGAAACCAAGCTTCCGGGAAGTACTTTTTCAACTGCAGTACACAATAAAATATTTTGCAACCATTTTTCACGTCACTAACTCCTGTGTAAATGTCCACAACGAGGAAAATCACTGCGCTGCATTCAAATTTATTCCCTTTATTTGAATTGCATACAAAATTTGTGCAGTTGTAGATAACATCGATTGTCTTTTCATGCTTTTATCGATTGTCGTAACTCTGCAGTCACCAATTAATGATGATGGAAATCTTTTCACATCAATAAAATAAAGTAAACGTGAACAGTCGAGTGGGCTCTTCAATATGCTATACACACTTTCGGCTCATTAATATTCTGAAAATATTAAATAATAAAAATATTAGTAATAAATCTTATACAAGTTAACAATGATTAAAATGCAAAAAAAATATTTCAGAACCATTATAAATTTCGAGAAACTGGGATATATCGGAATTGAGTAATTAATTTAATTTTACCTATTAACATGTTCATTTTCTAATACAAAAATATAAAGTGATACATTTTATTTAATTTCTAGCCTTCAATTGAATATATTGGTAATAAAAGCTTAGCATACATATAAATAATTTTATCTTCAAACATTAAAAATGCCCTTTGCAAAGTTTAATAATGTTATCGTCTCATCAGGTTTCTCAAAACCAAACAGTTTAAAATTTATCATCTCTTATATTTCCTATCGAAAACAATTCACTAAATGTAGGCTTTAAAGTTCCTCATCCTTAAGAGAATTCATTAATGGGAATACAAATGTATTAAACAAAAAGGGTAAGTATATATGTATGTTTGGATTATAAAATCTTTCGAACCACTAAAGGAAATGTTTCTGCTTAATTGACGTTTAGAAGATTACTAGATTTTCAAAGAATAAATTTTGGGAAATATTTTGATTCTATTTACTCGATTTTTATTACAAGATTTATTTAAAATTGTAGTATTTTATATAGCTTTGTGCGAAGATTTCAGAAACCTGGGATACTGTGTAGGTAGGTTTTATTGGCCATATAGTCATAATAGCTATTACTCAATTTCAGCAAATGTGGAGATTGCTGGGTGAGTTTGAAACTATCTGTGTGACTTTTCGTCCCGCTATTCTCGCAATACATATCTCCTGTGTACTACTATGAAATTGTAAAGTAGTTGACAGATCCTAGTTAAGTGGCAACACCAGAGCCGCCACTTAAAAAGTAGCCAATCAGCAACGGTAATATTTGCACAATGTTCGCACTTCATATCACAGAACAAAACAATAGTATGCTCCGAATTTTAGCAGTTAGTCAGCTAATCATCATACCAAGTAAAGAGAATAAAGTTGCTGGTGGTGATAAATCTCTGCGTGATGAGGAATTATGAGGGGCGTGTTCTCTGAGTTTTGTTTTTGTTGTTAATGGATATCGTAACGTGGTGAAACGCGTAGTGCGTGCCAAGGCCATATTCTTCATATCAACTGACAACCGCCTTCTAATTTTATTCGGATTTATTTTAGTCTGACTAGTAATGCCTGAGTATAAAATTATTATCCCAACTATATAATGGGCTGGGTATATAATACTATTAATGTCCTATTAGAGCTGGAGGGTCCATCACCGCAATTTTATTTTATTGATCTTTTGATGATTTTAATAAATTAAAAAATGTATATAATCTGTAATTGGCATTTTTAATTCATTTAAACAAAACATTCAATTTCTCGTTTCAACATCCTATTTAATGAGAAAACCTATTATATTTTTATGCCTAACAAAGGTCAATATATCTTCATAACAGAAATGTAACTAATAAAAAATGGCTTAAATATTACAAATATTTCCAAACTATTTCCTGAACATTCAGTTTTCGAGTGAATGGTCCCGATTTTAACCACTCCAAAAGACGCTAAAATAGCACAATTTCTAACAAACACTAGTGAAAAATAATAAACGGATGGAGGATATCCTAGCTCTATATTAGCTCGTTCGCAGTCCATCTTCACACATTTTGCCCTAAGGAAGGTCGCAGAGCGGTGGCTCCCCGTCAGCCAAGAAGTTACTGGCTCCGGCCGTGGAAGCCTACACTCTCACTTTGAAAAATTGAGTCTTATTTCGTTCAGAAAGCTCATCGTTAGTCTATCAAATCCCTCCCTCTTTGGTAATTATATATATATATATATATATATATATATATATATATATATATATATATTAAAGCTGTAAAGAGATTGGTTTAATGTCCCTCCTAATCGGCACTCAGTTAAAAGTTTTAAGAATGTTAAAATTATAATTTAAGGTCACTATATATTGAATAGATTTCAGGTTTCGTTTATTAATGAAAACTTCCAAATTTGCGTTGTTTGAAATACGCGGCTACAATTGAAACGCGAAGATGGCGTCGCGCGCACTTAGCAAGTCGTGGGAAATTAAAGAGCTTTGTCTTGCTTAGAGAACTTCGTTTAATCGTATATACATTGTGTAATCGTTAAAACGATTGTTTGTGACTTATACGTTATTTATCGTTTTTGTGTTTTCTCCGGAAATCATCAAGGAGTTGAGGGAGCTCTGATTATTAATTGACATAGGATATATGATCAACGGCGTGATCTCGATTACATCACTTAGATGTCTGACACATGTTCGTAAAAATAAACATTTCAGTGATTAAAGTATTAATTACATTAAGGTAAAATTGATAGCGGGACATTCTGTCGAAATAGGTCGAGACAATAAAAATGTATACATGTGAAAAGATCTTGGTAAAAAATAAAACATATGGATATGCAGTATTTTCTGTCGTATCTTCTATGCCTTTTACTTTTGAGCGATATAAATGCACACGTTCCGCTTGTGTTAGGATTAATCCATATACAGAACCGCTGGCTGTCTCCAACCGCACCGCCCCGTCAGCGCATCGAGAAGAGCGAGTGTGCCTGCTTTGTGGGGAAGGCGCCTTGGTAGTAAGACATGTGTCAGCTATTGCGCAGCCTATCAGACTTCAGCCCATGAGTTTTAGGTACCAGTTTGCGTCACAATATTAGCGAGAATTTTAAATGATGCCAAATAGCAACATTATAACATTGTTACAAGTCATTGAAACATATTTGAAATATTTCTTTTAAATACTGTATCTTGTACATCTTCATCTTGTTATTTTTGGTTGTTCATTGTTGAAAATTGTCAGTTTATGAGACTCTAAAATGTCTTTGAACACTTCTTGCTCTCCATGTAACGCCTGCGACTGTTCTGACCTTTCAAACGAAGTGCCCGTGTTGTAGTCACGTGGTCCGTGACGCAAACTGGTGCCACGGAGAATGAACAAAAGTCGGTGCGCCGGAGTAGCTCCCCCACCACCTTCCACCGTGCGCGCTGTTGCGGGGTCGCGTGCAGCTTCGTGGGGAAGGCGCGCAGCGAGGGGCGCGCGGAGGGGATTCCCCGGGTCTAAGCCTTATTTCGCGCGGGGCCTTCAAACGCGTAATGCTCGCAGCTCCCTTCAGAGCGCGCTCACTCCGCCGCCAACTCGCTTAACGAACGCCTCCTTCCCGGAGGCCTTCGGTGAGCGCCCATGGGTGGGGGAGGGGGGCAAATGACCGCTGCGAAACTCCCGCCAATCCAAGTGCACGGAAATGCATTGATTAACGTAATGTAGAGAATCGTGAGGGTAGGTCAAGAAACAAGTCAATTTTTGATACGTTTGCACTCTAAAGAAACCTGAGTTGTTTATTGACCTCTCCTCACGATTATCGACATTATGTTTATAGTAAGAGGGGAAGATCAATTTCCATTTCAAATTCAGAGAGCATTGACTGCCTTTAAATCGCCCAAGGAATGACAGTTTTGGAAAAAATCGTTTGAACTGTTTTTACGCTACCATTGACCAGGATTCAAGGACAGATTGTTGTTGTGAATCGATTTTTCGTTATCAAGGATCCACAAAATATGAATTCTTACTGCACAACGTGTTATAGAAAGTAATTTATTACATTTAAAAACAATATTTATCCACTTATTCATTACCAGGCTCGTCAATAAGAGCTTTTGTGACGGAAACGTGGTTTTCCGCACACGATTACAATACTTTCTCTTCTTACGAAGTTAGCACGAGAAAGTAAAACATTTGAATATGTTTCCTATTTCTATGATTTTTCTAGAGAGTTAGACAAAAGGACCGTATTACATATTCTGAACAGTCTACGAGATAGAACTTCGTCTGTAATATCAGTGATGCAACTGACATGAGTCTTGCAACTGACATACATAATACAAAATATTCCCGTAAATTTCCGTGAATATTAGTGCAGTTTTCCACTCGTGTGAAGAGATGCCGTGTTGACTGTTAACCAATAAATTTGCGTTCACGGTTGAAAATAGTTTCGTCGGTGTAAAGATTCAGTAGAAGCAACGGGCGATTAGTGTGCAACGTTCTAAAGACAGCGTCGACCCCGGGGGAGATTTCGCTTCGATGAGCCACGAGATGTTCGCCAGCCACGCGTTCGTGAAACTGAAGCGCATAAAGCCTCCCAGTGCTCTTCTATTTGAATGTTTCCTGAACCTTTATCACGTGATCGTTCACATAAAGACTTGGTACTGGATAGCGAACCACAATAAAAAAAATTCTTAATTTCGTGCGAAACCCAATAAACAAGAATTCTCCGCGAAGGAAGCAATTTTTTTCTGAGGTGTGTAATTGAATCCCGTGAGCTACAGTTACACGGAGAAAAAAATCATGCATGTTCTCTCGTGCTATATCCATTTTTCCACGCTTACAGATTTGCCAGAAAATTATTTGAAAAATAATATATCAATCAATTCTTTTGCTTTAAACGAGCATTTCTTTTGCTATTAAAATTGTTTAGTAACCGTGAATAAAAATGTGAACGGTTAGTTATGAACATGGAAAAACCGAATTGTGTTGTTCTACTAATGATGCAAGTACAATTTTGTGTTATAAAAACTTACAAGAAATTAAAAATTCTGACGTAAGGTCAGAATAAATGTCCGTGAAAACGTCACGTTAGCGGTGTTTGTCAAAAAAGCAAAGGAATAAAAATCTTCTACTATTTGGGCTGAATATTCAGTTGTAAGAGTATTACTAATAGTTAAGAATAGCATTGATAACATGAAATTCGTTAAATTCGTGGCGTTTCTAATCATTCAGTTAAATTCTTACTTTTTGCTAATCACTTTCCGTCTTATTACATAACCTGTTACTCACTTCATATGTTGTATTTGTTGTAATGTAGAAAGGGGAGACAATACCTCGTTAGAAAGTAAATGTTTCATTTCTGCCCTGCGTCGGGTAACAACGTCTTCTCCTGGATGTGGTAAAAGAAATTCTTGATTATG